AAACTATCAAACATATTTTCAGCATTATTTTTAGCTTGGAAAATAGTTGAATTCACAATAACTTAATAAACTACTACTTAATTTAAAAGTTATTGTGCATGGAACTACATAATTAAATAGTTGCCAAAAAGCAAAATATACAAAACATATTTATATTTGGATAGTTTAATCCATTCAAATTTATAGGTCTAGTGGTATAGATTATTTCCTGAATAATTAGGATATTGAAGCCAACAGAGCCATCGCAGAGTTCTATTTAATATAAAATGTCAAAAATTTAATCGCGATTAAACGGACTCTTGTGATTTAATGCCCGATTGCACCGTCTCTCTTAACTGAGGCTTAACGATAACTATCCCTTAAATTGACAGTTTTGCATGGGAAAACGTCACTTTAAGGAATAGTTATCTTTAAGCCTCGGTTAAGAGCAGGGCCCCCGCCAGACCTGAAGCCGCCCGCGTGCGATTTCATATTTTGGCGCCCCTTAAGGGCCCCACACACTACGTCCTATCTCGTCGGTTTTCATCGTCGCGATTAACAACGTCGTGTTTCATCGTCAGCCTGTTTTCACCACATACGCGATTTTTGGCAGTTGGACCCACATACAATGGTTTTGGAAATGTTAAACCGTCGTGCCAAAAATCAAGCTCGGAGTGAATTTTAAACCGACAATGAGACACGACGGTTTTCTACCATACACTTCGGTTTTAGCCTGGAATTGCAGAAGCTCTGCAACACCCAGATACAAATACACAACCTGCAAGTCTGACCTTTCATATTACAGAAACAGAATGCATTTTCAAGTCGAAAACTTTGACATTTAAAACTGGTAAATCAGTAGCGCCCAAACACTTTTTTTCGATAAATATATGACGGAATTGCAGATTTTTTCTGTAATTTACTCGTTCCTACAAATAGAGCACATATGCAAGTCGGCCATATTTGCAGATGCAACGACGAGAAAGAACGTAGTGTGTGGGGCCCTTTAGTTAGGGTTGGCGATTAAAAAAGCGCAAACATTTTGGAGTGGCATTAAGGCTGTTCATTTACACTTGCTCTACCTGCTCGAAAAACCAGCAAGATCTACTAGCAGCGGCTATTCATGAGCTTAAACGATAGGAGTTATGGGACCAGTGGCGTAGCAAGGTTTGACGGGGCTCCGGTGCAAATTATTTGTAGAGGCCCCCAGTTGAATCAGGGGCGTCGCGTCGGTGGGGATAATATATTTTTTTTTTCTTATATTCATTTTCAGTCTTTGTCAATCATATAAGATTTTACATGGAAGTGAGAAGGACAGGGCACTTTTTCCCATCAGACGAGCGCTGGGCACTTCAACAATCAGGTACCTGTTTGAATAAAAAGGAAAATAATTGAAACACTTTAGGAAAAAAATTTAATTACATATTTCATAATAAATAAATTATAAATTACATATTTTTTTTATATTTTTTTCTCGTGCGATTTGCCGCCCCTTGGCTATGCCGCCCGCGTGCGCCGCACGCCTTTGCGCTTATGGTAGCGGGGGCCCTGGTTAAGAGAGACGGTGCAATCGGGTATAAATCACTTATCTAAACAAAATTTATTCAAAAAAATGACTTTATCTGATTGGTCTATTTCATCGTGAGGGAAATAATCTACGACACACCCTTTTTTCCAAATTATGATGGCACCGATGACGTGAGTACAAATCTTCGTGAAACGAACTTTATAGTCCCCAGTACATCGATCTTTAAACTTTGTAACTCATGTACAGGGTGGCCCATTTTCAATGTTTTAATATAGGCTATATCGAAAACCAGCAGAGATATCAAAAATCTGGGAGCACATTCTCGAGCTCTTTTTTTGAGAAAATAACAATGGCGAAGACAAATCATGGCTAACTTTTCAAATTTTTTCCAATTTTAAAAGACTCTCTAATTTCCTTATTATGCAAGATATCCAAAAACGAAAAATAATTTCTATAGGCAGTTTTTCAAGGAGAATCCAGTGGCATGACCAATTTTTCTCCAGATGCCTCCGATTTTGGAATATTGATCAAAAATTCTATAGTTTTGGAGAAAAAAAAAATCCGTTTTTCCATAAAAAAACAATGAGCTAGAGAGAGATAAGTCATTAAATAAATTATGTGTTGCCTACTTATCACCCCTGATTCATAGTACAAATTAAAAAAAAATTAGCTGAACTGAGAAATTAAATTAAGAATTAAGAAAGGACCACGCATGGATCTTATGAGAAAAAATAAATTTCACGTTTGTCATGAAATTGAAATATGTTATGCTTCTCGACCTCCTGAACGTAAGTTCTCCGTTTCGGAGGCCCAAAAAGATCGTATAATTAGTTTCGGAGATACAGGGCTGGTTTAACATACAAAATTTTGACGAAAAATAAACATTTCAAGATATGTTGAGTTCAGGCAATGACATATTCTAGGTTAAAAAGGGGTGGAAAAATGCCGAAGTAATGTCATCTGAAGCTTTGAAGGTTGAAAAATTGTCAAAAAATGCCAAAAATGTGTCATTTTTGGTTATGAATTGAATCAATGTACCAGCAGATCCTGGGGATTTTTCTTGTACTACTTTCTTTTATCGGTCCTGTATCTCCGAAACTAATCATAGGATCTCTTTGGGACTACGAGAACTTACGTTCAGGAGGTCGAGAAGCATAACATATTTCAATTTCATGACAATCGTGAAATTTATTTTTTCTCATAAGATCCGTGCGTTGTCCTTTGTAGCCGATTCATAGTTCAACTATCTCTTTCTAACTCATTGTTTCTTATGGAAAAAACGGAATTTATTTTTTTTCTCCAAAACTATTAAAGGTAAAGGTATAAAATCTCATATCATTGAAATCAGCTCACAAAGAGCTATTCAAGGAAAAAATAATATACGAGGTTACTCATTTAAAAAAACACAACTTTGGTCAATATTTCAAAATCGGTGGCATCTGGAAAAAAATTGGTCATGCCACTGGATTCTACTTGAAAAATTGCCTCAAGAAAGTATCTTTCGTTTTTGGATATCTTGAATAATAAGGAAATTAGAGAGTTTTTTAAAATTGGCCAAAATTTGAAAAATGCCCTGTATTCCCTAAACGCATCAAGTTAGCCGTAATTTGTCTTCGCCATTGTTATTTTCCCAAAAAAAGAGCTCGAGAATGTGCTCCCAGATTTTTGATATCTCTGCTGATTTTTGATATAGCCCATTAAACAGGCCTGGATTAAGGGGGGTCCTACCGGTTCTACAGAACCGGGCCCAACGTTCCAAGGCGCCCTTGCGAGATCGAAGATTAGACAAAAAAAATTTAAACTTGAATGTTCAACAAACATTCCCTCAAAAGCTGGCTTGACAAGATTATAAACTATCAGCCTATAACCATTGTCTATAACTATCATTGAGGATAACATATGTTGCTATATTGAATCACAACATGGCTCGATAGATCGCACAGTGAATCAATAGTTATCACTGTAATAGTAATATTAAATACAGTGACTCTTATATCACAGCGGCGACAATTGCCGTCTCATTTTTGATTGGTTCTCTAAAATCCGATATATTCATATGGAAAACACCGCCACTTTGGGGCTTACCTCTTGCTTTTTTAAATATGAATATAGAATTCAAATGGACATCCATGATAACAAATTGAATAAAATGTATTTGATGTACCTAATTATAGTCTTTAGATACATTGTTTTCAATTTTTTATGATAGATGTTCATTTAATGGCCGTTTGCACCGATCATTCAACGTAGCCTTAGCGATAAGTATTCCTGAAGGCCAGTTTCACAATTGGTGTTAACCTGCACTGGTTATCAAACTAAGGGCCAGTTTCTCAAACAGCGGTAACCCAAAGGTAACTGCAACACACTGGTAACCCACAATAAGGTATATCTGTTTCATAATATGTGGTTGAGCCAAACCAAAACCATTGGTCAAGCAACAGAATATTCAACTCAAGACTTATTTTGCACACTTGTGGTCAACACGCAACCATTAGTTTAATAATAACCACTGCAGGTTACGACCAATTATGAAACTGCGCCTAATAGTTAAATAACCTGAGCTTTGATCAATGGTTTTGCGTCAACGATCAACGAGACAGTATGAAATCAGATATATATTGTGGGTTACCAGTGTCTTGTGGTTAACGTTGTTTGTGGAACTGCCCTTACATTTTACATTTTACAGTTTTACATGGAGAAATATCACTTTAAGGAATACTTATCGCAAACCTTGAAATGGTCGGTGGAAACGGCCATATATTCTATATATTCATATTTAAAATTAGCAAGAGGTACCTAAGCTCCAAAATGGGCCACCCTGTACACGCCGCAACATGACGCCACAGTGACATGTTAAAGGCATCGGACCCCCCCCCCCCAAAGCCACGAGATTTTTGTCCGACAAATGTATCGTTAATTCAATATAAAAAACAGTCGATTGGCATTAAAACGACACGTACATGTATCACCTTCCTCAGGGACGTCAAGAAGACAACGTCACGAAGAGTTAGCGCGAAAATGTCCCGTCGCCCAGAGTGAAGATATGAACAAAATTGTCCGACTTCCCGACTTTGTTGTGAAGCAGCTCAGAGGAAGTTTGGCGTGTAGATGAGTTACAAAATTTAAAGGTCGATGCGTACTGGGGACTATTACGTACGTACATAGTGACAAAAATGTGAGAAATTGAGAAATCTATTTTTTCTTTGATACAAAGCATTATTTGTCTTTAAAAAGAAAAAAATAAGAAAACCTTAATATATGATGATAAATACATTATAAAAGTTCATGACTTTGATAAAGATGAAAAACTTTTGATTGGTGATTAACTTTTATCTACACATTTTTGTTTCGAAAAGTAAACACAGAACACAGTAAATCTCTTAAATAGGTATATTACATAAATATGCAATCATTTACATTTTTATAGATATTAGTTTTCTGTCGCACTCGAGGTCGCACTATTTTTTCTTTTTCTTTTTTTTCTTTTTTCTTTGCGGTTAAAGTGAATAAAGGTGAATTAAAATGACTGAAACGTTTTGCCAAAGTAAAAAAAAAAAAATCCAATAAAAACCCAATTCAAATAATTTGATGAAACCTAGTCTCGCTTTTTATTTTGTCTATTGGCTTTTTGCAAAATTATATTCCTCCACTATAGGACTTGGATGTAATGGATGCTGCGAACGTCTGCTTTCTTTATAAGTTTTATAATACATTGGCAATTGGCTCTGTCCGATTTCGTCTTCTTTGACTGAAACAGAAGAAAATATTATTACAATTAAAAATTTGAAATAATATATTTTACACTGACATGTCTTTTTTTTAAATTAATATAATATACCCATATACCGACAAATACAGCTCTAGTCGATACGGTTCTTGTTTTACACAGAAGTATAAGGCCGGTTTATTCACTTTCTAATAAAGTGTCAGGTATGTGATCTCACGGATAAGAACACAATCTGTAAACCCATTGGTCGGCCAGTTATCCGCCGACCAATAGAATCATAGAACAGTAGTTTATCGCGCAGATAGTTACCAGCAAGTTTATCTGAAGATGAATAAACCGGGCCTAAACTAAATGAAACACTGTCATTGATTTCACAACCCTATGCAGCAAGTAGTTAACTTTGCAAAGATTGGCAACTTGCTATAGGTATTATAGCGTCCAAAGGAGCAAAATAAACGATTATATACAGGGTGTCCCAAATTCGAGGGTCAACATGGGGATACCGGTAACCGTTAAGAGATACGAGGGGGGTTAAATTAGACAAAAGTTGTGCAATTTTATGATTAACACAATACCGTTTTGAGAATTTGAAAATTCCGAATAGCTCCGAAGATATTCGGAATAAACCAAAATTTTACAAAAGATTTTTTATTTTTTTCTGAGCTTATTTGAAAAAATATCCCAAAATAAATGTTACTTCATCATTGGCACTTTTTCTTCTCCACAAGCTGCTACCATCGAATTTAAAATCTGATGTTGCGTGTTTAGACCACTATCATCAGCTTCATTTTTTTAAATACGGAGACTTATTTTTTATTTTCGATTTCATAAGCTTCTGATGTCCCAAAACCAATGACGTATTGCGTATTGCATTTATTCCAAAAATTTATATTATTTGCACTTTCCATGAGAACTCAATATGTTAGAAGGAGACAGAAGAGAATTTTGGTAGGAAATTACTAAAAAGTAAAATTTTTTTTTTCGAATAAATGCAATACGTCATAGGTTTTGGGACATCAGAAGCACTTAAAATCTGAGATAAAAAATCCAGGGTTGTATTTAAAAAAATATAGTTGATGATTGTGGCCCAAAGACGAAACGTCCGGTTTCAAATTTGATGGTGCCATCTTGTAGAGGAGAAAAAGTGGCAATGATAAAGTGACATTTATTTTGGGATATCTCTTCAAATAGGCTTAGAAAAAAACCAGATGTCAAATTTTTGAAATAACGCTTCCTAGACAAATGACTACCTAATTAATGATTGTCATTGTCATTAAATGTCATTTCAAACCATGAATTCATTTTAATAAATCTTGACATTTTTTCAGGTTTTAATATCATTTTTCGGAGATAATACCTACCACATAATACCACGAGAGCTTCAAAATTACGGATAATTTTTCACGATTGAGTGTTTTCTATAATTTCACGAGTCCACGAGTCCGTAGGACGAGTGAAATTTGCAAAGAAAACACGCATGAGTGAAAAATTATCTGGTCCATTTTGACCATTTTAAACCTCGATTGATATTTAGAGGATTATTTCACGAATGAAAATGCAAAAAATATGTTGCTAACAACGTCCTATCTCAAATCAAGGTTTCTTTCAGATACGTCACTTTGTGAAATTAACGACGATTTGTTTGTATTGTTACAAATAAATGGTTGTCAGCGTCAGCAACCGTTTGTATCAAAAATTAGCATGACAACCATATATACGATTAAGATGGGATAATATTCGCTGTCATTATTTCATTATTAATAATTATTATTATTATTTTTATTAATATAAGCGAAAAACCCCAAGGGTCCTTTTGTACGGGTAAGTTTACCCCCAAAAAGTGTTTCACTGAAAAGGGACCTCATGCCGGCGTACTAAATCTTCAATAAGCACCCTAAAACCTTTTTTTTTTTAATTATATAAAGCAAAATGAGCTCTAACCAATCAATGAAAGAAAAGATGGCGTTCCCATTTAAAAAAAAGGTCAATGACGTCATATCTTGGAGAGGATTTTTTTTGCTCCTATATCTCTGTGTAACTTTTCCCTACACGTCTTCTTATACCTATTTCCAAAATTTCATCAAATTTCATTGAGCCGTTTTCTCAGAAAAATGCCAACACACATACATACATACATACATACATACATACATACATACATACATACATACACACAGACGGAAATGTGCCACCTTGCCAAAAAGGCTTAAAATGATCCAAAACGTCAAGATTTAATGAAATTTTGACATGTTCAAAATCGGGCTATCACCATAGCTTCCTATATCTAGGAAGCTAATAAAAACGCTTTCGTAACATTTCGGTTTATTTCGAATATTTTCGAAACTATTCGAAATTTCCCAAATTTTAAAACGGCATTTTGTTAAGCTTCAAAATGCGCAACTTTTTTCTAATTTAACCACCCTCGTATCTCTAACGGTTAGCGATATCCCCATGTTGGCCCTCGAATTTGGGACACCCTGTACAGGGTCTTTTCCCATATATTGACCCTTCCACTACAGGGGTTATGTGCAGAGATATCAAAAAATTGTAAATACAAAATTTTTGGGATTTCCCCTGAAAGTCCGACGCACTAAATACACAGAAAATCGGTTTCGGTCAAAATAGTCCAAGAGCCCAGAGCCGCCAGACACAACTTATTTTCTAAAGGACAGAATATGTGGGATTGAGTAGCACTTATATGTACTATGAACGTATGTATACCCGCTAAGTTGGGTAGACGGCCAATATACCGATACCAGGTGCGAAAGCTTAAAAAGTACTTCAACTTTTTTTCCAACGCTTGATTTTTATACATTTTATTGGGGAGACTATTTCATAACTACGTGTACTCAGCCAGACCAATCGCATCGGCCAAATATCCCCCCAGACGCAATAATAGTTTTTCCGTGAGTGTGAGCGCGAGGATACTATGCATGCGTTTGAGAGTGAGCGAGATATCTATTATCCCCTCTTAAATTTACAGTCTACTCCAGGCAAGAGTAGAAATGGGATTCGGTTTTTCCCATAATGGGAAAAACCGTTATTTACAAATAACAGTCAACAGGCCGTCTACCCAACTTAGCGAGTATACATACGTTCATAGTACCTATAAGTGCTACTCAATACCACATATTCTGTCCTTTAGAAAATAAGTTGTGTCTGGCGGCTCTGGGCTCTTGGACTAAAATGTCTGAACTTTTTATATGATGAAGTCCATGTTGCCCTTATAGTTCACGTGCAAAAAAAAGGTGGGTACATCGAGTAGTTTTCGAGATATAGAGTGTCAAAGTGGCGCCATCAAGCATATGCTTTATCATACTCAGCACCTATTTTTATCAGTTAAGTTAGCTATAACATTACAAAACTGAAAAAGATTGACCCAAAGGGTTAACAAATCTTCCAAAAAACTAACCCAAACTTTTTTTTCCCCAACCCTAAAAATAGGCCAGTAAACAAGAGTCAAATATTAATATTTTTCGAATAACTGGGAAACAGTCAGTATTATAGATTTATTGCTCTTTTACAATGGCCAAGCTTTCGAAGCCTTTTGCTTCTTCTTCAGGGCTATAATAATATAATATAAAATAAATAAAAAATTAATATAATATAAATTAGAAATTAAATAAAAATTTTCATAAACTTTTTTTAAAACATACCTTGAATGCATTATTAAATAAAATTATTTTCAACAACAATATTATTAATGATAATAATAATAACCAATTATCTAACGAGTCAATAATACAAAATAATTCTATTAATGTTCAAAATAATCAACAACCAAGATTTTATTATGCTTCAATACCATACATAAAAACACTTTCAGAAAAAATTGCTTATCTTTTCAAAAATGAATCTGTCAAAATTTCTTTTAAAATCATAAAAACTATTGGTAATTTAAATACAAAAATAAAAGATAAAGATCCAATAGAATTAAAAACTAATGTTGTTTATGAATTACCTTGCACAAACTGTGATAAGATCTATATAGGTCAAACATCACAAACCATAAAAAACAGAATGTCTGGACACAAAAGTGATATACGATTGCAAAAAGAAACAAGTGCTATAGCTAAACATTCATTTGATACTGGACATCGACCTAATTACAATAACATCAAAATTTTACAAACAGAAAAGAATTTAAATAAAAGATTATTTTTGGAAATGACGGAAATACAAAAACAAAAAAATTCAATCAATGAAAGAACAGAAATTAGTAATTTGAGCATAATATATTCCTATTTGTTATCTCTGGATAAAAAAAATTCCTAATTTATATTAATCAATACCGGTTTATTACCTTCAAAGATTACCTTCATTATATTGTCAAGTCTATCAAACACAAATCTAAATTTTCAAAAAAATTATACCATATTTTACATTTTTTGAAATAATTTCCATTATACATTTATATTAAAAACTTTTTATAAAAATCTATATTATATCATAAATGAAAAAACTTAAAAAAAACCAGAGAAATCGATAGACTCACTTACAAGGTATGTTTTAAAAAAAGTTTATGAAAATTTTTATTTAATTTCTAATTTATATTATATTAATTTTTTATTTATTTTATATTATATTATTATAGCCCTGAAGAAGAAGCAAAAGGCTTCGAAAGCTTGGCCATTGTAAAAGAGCAATAAATCTATAATACTGACTGTTTCCCAGTTATTCGAAAAATATCAATTATTAACGGTCGTGATCCATAAAATAAATCAAATATTAATGTTAATGGTGTACGTAAAAATTGATATACCTATTGAAAGTAGCTGTTTACGCTCACCAGACTTCCGAAAACAGAAGAAATGACCAGTATATTGTTTCATCTGAACAGAAAAACTTATTTTCCCTATTCATTTCTCACTTATCAAAAGAAAAAAGCATCCAATCCTTTCCAAAAAAAAAACGGATTATATAATCGGGAAGATAGTTTTTTAGTGGCATTTCCCATATCACAGGGGCGTGTAAGCATTAAATCTTTACTGGAGAAGGAAAAAACAGTCTTCTGTAAATTC